ATGCTTTCCAGTTCCGTCCATGTTGTTGCAAAGGGTAGTAGCTCCTTCTTTCTCTCTGCTGCATAGAATTCCATTGTGTATATGTACCACAATTTTTGGATCCATTCATTTACTGACAGGCACCTAGGTTGCTTCCAACTCTTTGCTATAGTAAATTGTGCTGCTGTGAACATTGTGGTGCATAGGTTCTTTGATATTGATGTTTTAGGATTCTTAGGATATAATCCTAGCAGTGGAATTGCTGGGTCAAAAGGCAGGTCGATTTTTATTTTTCTGAGAAAATTCCATACTCTTTTCCATTATGGTTGCACCAGCCTGCAATCCCACCAACAGTGAACTAGGGTCCCCTTTTCCCCACAACCTCTCCAACATTTGTTGTTTCATTTTTGTCATTTTTCATAGCACTAATTATTAGATAATCAGACAATCCCTCCATTTATGCAGACCTGAAATGCAGGGCCTTGTAACTCCCACCCATTAGTTCTGGTTTTGCTCTGGTTTTGCCCTTAGAGTCTATTGAGTCAAATCCTGATTTTAAAAAAAAAGATTTTACTTATTTTATGTTTAGAGAGAAGGGAAGGGAGGGAGAAAGAGAGGGAAAGAAACATCAATGTGTGGCCATTTCTCATGTACCCCCCACACCACCACCACTGGGGACCCAGCCCACAACCCAGACATGGGCCCTGACTGGGAATTGAACCAGTGACCCTTTGGTTTGCAGGTCAGCACTCAAGTCACTGAGCCACACCAGCCAGGGCTCAAATCCTAATTGTTAAGCTAGCCCAGTCTCTGAGAGGGTGGCTGCTCAAAGGGTGCCTGTGGCCCAGCAGCAGCAGCAGCAGCGGGCCCACCCGTGTAGGTGCAGGAGCTAAGGCCTCGCCCCAGACCTGCTGCACTGAAATCTGCATTTTGACAAGATCTTCCGTGACTGGTGTGTACATTTCGGTATGAGAAGCGCTGCGTTTGATCACATGAATGACCACTGTACATTCTACTACTTTGTTCCCTTACTTGCTATCCCCTGAGCCTACTGGTGTTCTCAAAATGTTAGTTGAGGAAACAAGTGGCAAGAAGCAACAATTGAAAATTTCAGTAACTTAAATATAAGTACAGAATTGGCCTGGCATAAGTTAAAGCTGTTATTACATTAACTGGAATTCTACAAGTATTTCCATGTGTCCATAGTACAATCGTAAAAGGTGATACTGCTGATCCTAAGGCTTTAGAAGGTCAAAAATGCCTTTGATCACTAAAAACACATGAAATTGTGCTCCATGTGATCTCATGCTGGGTCCTGCCTTGTGATTTTTAAAACCCTGAAAAACAGACTCAACAACTGATCAGAACAACTCACTCTCTGAGTCCCAGCAGATAGAGGCAACCACAAAACTTCCTTCCATCACACTCTCGAGCTGCAGGGAGAATGACAGTTGAAATTCTTTTCTATTTCTGACATCGCTGCCAGGACAGTGACTGAGAATCCCGCCTGCGAGGTGCACAGGAGAGGCGCGCTGTGGGAAACAGCTGTGCGGGAAGGAAGTGCTTTCCGTGAGTGCAGTCAGCAGTATGGAGATGAACTTGAGCAGCTCATGAGCATGAGTAAATGCTTAGCTGCCTTTCCAATCACAAAGTCTCTTTCTATATTTGGCACTTTTTAGATATTCGGTAAAACAGACTGAATGCCAGATGACAGTATTAGACTGTCTTCAGTTAAACTCAAGTGAAAATCTTAAGAAGCCCCTCCCCCCACACCCTGCCATATTTCTCTGTCCACAGTGAGCTTTAATCCTGACACCCTCAGGATGGGAAATTGGCCCAGCCACGCTGGGCTAAGTCAGCAGGGCCTTGATTTCCCCAGGGCCCAAGTCCACCCTGTACTGTGTGTGTATCTCAGCTCAAGGTGCATGTCCTACTCCCTGGCCACCGGGGATGTGACAAACAGGTGGAACCACTCACTGCCTGCTACCCAGTTCTTTTGTCTAAGAGAAACGGGCTACTCAGCTTTTCTCTGTCCTGAGTACCAATTCATCCCAATCCAGCACACTGTATTAAAGGCCTCGCGGGGTCCTTTCTATGCCCTCCCTTGCTCCTCAGGCTCATTCATTGGGGAAATATTTATATAAGACCCCTGTGTCCCAAGTAGTGAGGTTATAATAAGCAATATCCAGCTCCTGTCCCCATGGAACTTGCATTTTACTGAGGGAGACAAGACAATGCGCATGAGGTTTCTGTAGGTGCTGAGGATGAGTGAATTTATAGCACTGGGGAAGTGATCTAATTCTCTTTTCCTCAGTTTCCTTATTCAAAAAATAAAGAGATAAATAAATTCAGTGTCACGGGATTGTGCAAAGGTGAAGCACAATATTGTAAGTATGGTCATTAGCACATTGCCTGATGCTTAATAAATGTTAGCTATTGTAATTGCTTCATTAATTTGTTTAACATATTTATATATACTATGCTCTGTTAAGGAGTAAACAAAACAGAAAAGAAGCCTGCTTTCCTGGAGCTGGAAAAGTATACGTAGTATCGTGGGATCTCATGTATGGCCTGGTGACTGTAATTAACTGTACTGCATTATATACGCGAAAGCTGTTAGAAAAGTAGGTCTTAAATGTTATCACCACCAACAGAAAAAGTGGTGATTTTGTGAGGAAGCGGAGGTGTATGAAATCATCACATTGTATGCCTTGAACTTACATATGTGTTATATGTCAATAATATCTCAGCAACAGTTTGCCAAAACTTAATTACCCTGTGTTCAAAATGCTTTCTCTCTGATCTGGGTGGTAGTTACTGAGGATATAGGTGTATAAATTCATTGAACTGTACTCTTAGAATCTGTGCCTTTCATATGTATATTATATCCTAATAAAAATGTAAAAATAAATAATAATAAAAAAGTCCATTATCTTAGCCACTGAAGTAATGCCAGTTTTGGTCTATCTTGGGATAATTTTGTGATGATTTGTGAATTGTCAAGCATTTAAAAATAAATCTTCAGAATTTTTAGTGTTTTTCTTTTGTATCCTTTTCCAAAATTCTTTTTCAGTCAATTAGTTGAAAGAACCTAACAGCCAACAATGAGAGATTAATTGTAACAACTGTTTGTGCATCTTCAAAATTGCATGCAGCTCAGTAGAGCAATAACTGGCCAGTATAAAGTTTCTGAAACAAAAGAAAGGGGGAAGGGAACAAAACTGCTAGAAGAAGATGAAAATACTTACCACAAAAGTCATTTTTTGATGCTTCAGGATTTTTAATACTTAAATACCTAGAATTTGAAGATAATAACCTGTAACTAAATTGTCATTGTTTTAATAATTTTAAAGATTTTAGTTATTTATTTTTAGACAGATGGGAAGGGAGGTAGGAAGAAAGGGAGAGAAACATCAATGTGTGGCTGCCTCCCATGTGCCCTCTACCTGGGGCCTGGACCAAAACCCAGGCATGTGTCCTGACTGGGAATCAAACCAGCGATCCTTTAGTTCACAGGCCTGTTCTCAATCCACTGAGCTATACTGGCTGGGCCTTTTCATCCAATTCTTAAGGCAGCCTTACCATATTCCCATCTCACCCTACCCCTTCTTCAATCCTCATGCCTGTAGCTATTGGTTAAAACTCAGACTGAGTGAGGTCTAGTGGTGAGTAAACAGTAACTGTGCGATAATATCAAAGGAAACAAAAATAGAACTTAACAGTGAAATCTTTTCTCTTCGCCATGGTTGCCAAGGTTTGAGCACCAAAAGAGAGAGAAACATTTCCTTCTAAGAGCTTTTTGGGAAAAAAAAAAAAAAATCAAACATGATGTCATAGCATTAAATTATAGCATTAAGTCTATAAAATCCAGGAATGGTATAAAAAATAAATTTGAATCTCTTCTCCCCAACAAACCCAGCTAGACTCTCCATCTTGAATGGATTTACTGACAGCATGAAGGACTTCTTAGTGTCATTACTATTTTTTCATTTTTTAAAAATATATAATCTTAGTTATATTTTTTCCATTACCATTTAGTCCGCTTAAACCCCTCTCCCACCAGCAATCACCACACTGTTGTCCATGTCCATGATTCCTTTTTCCTTATCATTCAGTCCCTCCACCTCCCCACTTCCCCCACCCTGCCCCCACTGGCTGTCATCTGTTCTCCATCTATGAGTCTGTCTGTATTTTGCTTGTTAGTTCAGTTTGTTTGTTAGACTCCACATATGAGAGAAAGCATATGGTATTTGTCTTTCTCTGACTGGTTTGTTCCACTTAGCATAATGCTCTTTAGGCCCATCCATACTGTTGCAAAGGGTAAAATTTTCTCTTTTTATATGGCCAAGAGAAATTCCATTGTGTAAATGTCTGATAGTTGTTTTATCCACTCATCTATTGATGGGCACTTGGGCTGCTTCCATATCTTGGCGATCGTAAATAACACTGCAATGAACGCAGTGGTGTTTATGTTCTTTCGAATTAGTGTTTTGGGGTCTTTCAGATATATTCCCAGAAGTGAGCTTGCTGGGTCAAAGGTCAGATTCATTTTCAATTTTTGGAGGTGTCTCCATACTGTTTTGCACAGTGGCTGCACCAGTCTGCATTCCCACCAACAGTGCACTAGGGCTTCTTTTTCTCCCCATCCTCACCAGCACTTGCTGTTTGTTGATTTACTGATGATGGCCATTCTGACAGGTGTGAGATGGTATCTCATGGTGGCTTTAATGTGCATTTCTTTGATGACTAGTGGTGTTGAGCATCATTTCATATGTCTATTGGCCATGTGTATGTCATTTTTGAAGCAGTGTCTATTCAGGTCCTTTGCCTAATTTTTAATTGGGTTGTTGAGTTTTGTAGGGACTTCATAAATTTTGGATATTAACCCCTTATCAGATGTACGGTTGAATATGTTCTCCCATTGTGTGGGTTGTCTTTTTATTTTGTTGATAGTTTCCTTTGCTGTGTGCAGTATTACTTTTAAAGGCAGCCATTTAATATGAACTCTCTCGTTGGAACAGGACAGCTGGGAAGTGGTAGAAGGACTGAGGGGAGAGATGTATTATACCCAGGAGCCACCAGTTCAGAAAGGATTTTTGCTGAAAAAGCGGAAATGGCCCCTGAAAGGCTGGCACAAGGTAAGACATGAGCCTTGGCCTTGGCTTTACCTTTATTTGCTTCCAGACTACTGCACTCAACACTCGGTTCTTTGGCACTTAATTTAAAGTTGAAAATTGGGACCAAGGGAAGGATGGCTATTTAAATGGAATGTTTTTCTGAATTGTACTTTCTTTCCCACAGAGATTCTTCTATCTGGACAAAGGGATCTTGAAATATGCCAAGAGCCAAGCTGATGTAAGTCTCTGTATTAACCCAATATACTATTGGAGAATTTGAAAGAGCTAGTTGTCAGCTTATGGGCGGGATTGTGCACATGTCAGGGGCAGATTCCATTTCTCTGAGCTGGGGGCCACTGAGGGGTGATAATTCCTTCACATGGAGCAGAGGTGGCTATGCCCCACTGTCCCGTCTCTGGGTTCAAGGTGGGCTCGGTTCACCTGCTGAGTGGGGGTAGGGAGCTCTTCTCAACACCCTACTATGTATCCAGGGGACTATTCTGGCCTTAGGGTTACACTGAGGAGTTCTCTGGGTGGGAGAAGACATCTTCACAATGAGATAACAGGAGCAAAACATAGGGCGAGTGCCACTCGCACTGTCAGAGTGACTGAGGGGTTTGGTGGAGAACGCTTGGTGAAGGTGATGTGGAGTTCCCCTTTGGTGCTGACACTGAGCAGATGGCCCAAGAGGGCTGGTAATGATCATTGGTCCTGCCCCCTCGTGGGGGCTCTCCTCTCCTCCCTCCTTCCTCTCCTCACCCCACTCACAGTGCGCATCTTGTATGGTTGTGTGCAGAATGCTTGGCCTAATGTCAGACCTACTGTCGCCTGTCTTGGCCACCTGTCCCTATTCCTCTTTTTAAATCACTTCCCCATGAATTCAGACATGGGAAGCTAATTCTGTGGGAGGCAGTGCAGTTAAAGGTAAATTCGCTGCTGTGCAGTCAGTCCATGGGGCTCAACTTCTTTCTTCCTCAATGGTTGTGCAAACCACTTGTTACATAACCCCTCACAGGGTAAATAAGGTAGCACATGTACAGCACTTAGAGCTCGGTACTGGTCTACACTAAGTGCTTGATACACCGCAGTTCTTAGGGTTACTATGAGAGGATGTGCAGGTAAGGCTAGAGGGAAGGAGTGTCAAGGATGTTACAATCGCTTTACCTCCTGGCTTCCAAGTGACTCCTTCATGCCTCTGCAGATAGAGAGAGAGAAGCTGCATGGTTGCATTGACGTTGGGCTTTCAGTGATGTCTGTGAAGAAGTCATCAAAGTGCATAGATCTGGACACCGAGGAGCACATCTATCATCTGAAGGTGAGGCCGCCTCCCAGGAGCCAGCTCCCGTTGCAGAGTCCTTCCTGTCACCATACAGGGCTGCTGGCCATGCCTTTTCAATATTTCCAAACACCCGGCCAACACGCAGAAGATCGTCAGTGTGAAAGTATTTGTAATGGGCCCTATTGTGAGAGACTGTCACACTGCTGAAGGTTTAGCATCCTTGTCCCCTCATTCCCCGTGATTGTGGCAGTGATCAATAACCAGAACGTCATGTTTTCAAATACAGTGCTCCCTGCCCCAGAGGGTGCCATCTTTAGTCAACAACCACTTACTGTAGGTTAAGCTATGTTCCTTGGAATGTACTATTTAATATTTAGTCTTATAGCTTGGGCTAATTTTAGATGGATCCATTAAAATGCTCATATTAAGTTGGATGTTAAGAATTTTTCCCCTAAAGGGTGGGCCTCTAAATGGTAGCTCTCAGAGCTGCTTGACTGCCCTCTGTTCCCCGCTGTCCTGCAGGTCAGAGAGACGGTTGGAAGAGTGAAATGCGAGCTTTGTGGATTCAGATCTGGTTCAGTTCTTGACCTGGTTACTTACTAGCTGTTGGCCTCTGGCAAATTATTTAATTTCTGAAAGTCTCAGCTTTTTTACCACCCAAAATAGGAATTAGTAGAGTAGGAAACTTGGTATCATGCCTGGCCTACAGTAATCTCCATAAGTTCAGTTATTGTATATAATTCTTTGGTGGCACCCAAATGTTAGAAATGGAGAAAATGTTAGAACTCTCTTCTCACTTGGCCACATTATTTGGACTATTGGCAATGGGGGCTGAGCGCTGGGAGACTAAAAGCACGAGATTATGAGCTCCGTGTCTTAAGATGTCCCTCCCACCGCATACATGTGGTGCTCGGGCAAATGCACACAGCGTGTGCATGCGAGTGATTGGCCGCACAAGACGGGCTGTTCTGTTTCCTAGCCTCGGCCCGTGCCTGTGGGTGTAGTTAATTGTGTAAAGCAGGGTTTCTTACCCTCAATGCTAGTGACCTGGTGGCCTGGAGGATTCTCTGCTATGGGGGCTGATCCCGCACATTGTAGGATGTTATGTGGCATCCTGGCCTCTACCCACTAGATGTCACCAACAACCCCCTCCACTTATGACAACCAAAAAATGTCTCCAGACATTGCCACCTGTCCCCTGCAGGGAGGGGCTAAATCACCCCTGGTTGAGAACAACTAGTGTGAAGTACAGAAGGGAGAGACCTATAATCTTCATTAAAAAAAAAAAAAGGTTTAAGAAAGAATGTTTTCTGCACCCCACTTCAATGGGCAATCTTCTTTAGAATAATTCAGGTCGTTTCTCCACATAGTTACAATGGCTCTTAGTTCTGTGTTTTGACACAGTCAGAAAATTATAGGTTCTTATTCACACACTATTCTAGTTAACCGAATAAAAGTGACTATTAATTCCTAATGTTTAAAGAACTAGAATGCCTTAAGATACATTAAGTGCTAATATCATGATTAACACAGCTTAATATTCTCCGCAGTGATTCACTTGAAGTTCTATTTGTGTTTCTTATTCATTCTTTTGAACCTCAGCTGTGACTGTCAGTATAGGTCTATGTAGTTATCTGAAGCTCCTACTTGATGGCCTCAGAGGCAGGCAGTTTTTAAATGGGGGTCATCTAGTCCCCTTCTCTTATTTGGTAGATGAGGGATCTGGCAGCAGAGTTAATTGGCTGTCCACCCACAGTCCTAGAGCCACTTGAGGGGCTGGAACAGATCCCAGGTCTGTTCTTTAATAAAGTGCTTTTATCCTTCTACCCCGTTCAACCAGTACCCAGTGAGTTGCAGTGAACACCCTGGACACACTGATTGTTAGGGGCCTCTGAGGGGAGATCAGTGCTCAGGGTGGTATAGATGCCTGTAACATTCCTGTTAACCACATCTGGGAAGTGAATATGCTTCACAAACACGATTCAGGGGAGACAGAGAGGTGAGCACTGGTGTTGCTTCTTCCTGTACACGCTCAGTAGCCCCTGGAGGGGCGTTAAGCCTTGGACCTACTTCTAATCCACACAACACATGAGGAGCCATCCTAACATCTCCTCAGTGAACGATGCTGCTGACAGCTATTGCCACGTCCTTGCCCTCAGCAGCGGCGTTTATAAAGGTTATAACGGGATTGACCCAAGTTTTTCTTTTTAGAAGTTAACCTACCAAGCATCCTTTTGGGGTGTTATAAATTGCCATTGCATGAGTCTTGGTGTTCCAATATATAGGTATATATCATTGTTTACTTTGAAAATATGCCCTTATATGCACACAAAAATATTGACTATTAAGAAATGTATATGGTGCATAGGTGTCAGTTATATTCTTTGTCATACTTTTATGAACATTTAACATATTTTGTCCTCAAAGTTACTATTTACAAACATTATTCTTCATGGAAATTGGACATTGGTAGATACTCACCCATGGACAGAGAATGGCTACATGTCCATGTGGGTGTGTTTGAAACCCTGGAAATCACCAGTAGTGATTTATCAGACTCTTTCTGTTTCTGAGAGTGGGAAAAATGTTCTTTTAAATAACCTTCACATTTACTAACATGTATTCCTCAGCAGTGTATTCTTTGACAGAAAAGATGAACAAGGTTAAATATTTTAGGGAGAATTTACTAATTCCAGTTCAGAAAAGATTAATCTGAAATGTCCGAATTATAAAAGAGTTTAATAAGAAATAGGGCACCAGTATTTTCAGCAGGGAGAGGAAAGCTTGGACAAGAGGACTCGGAGACATGAATGTAAACTTCAGTTTTAGTTGTTTAACAACTCACACTGGTTTGCTTTCTTAATAATAGCATAACTATAAGACCCTTTCGTAGGCAGCCTAAATATATAGTTTATGAAGACCATTTTTACTCTCCGTTTCCTCCCCAAATTTGTTCCCATAGATCACATAAGTGTAAACTAAGTCAATAAGCTGATATGTTTACATTTCTGCACGTGCCAGTGTGAAAAGAGGGTGTTGAGAGTGACCTTGATTTGGTGAAGAATTGCTCCTTCCAGTGACTGATGCTCTTGTTCCTCCTTTGAACTGAACACGATTCAGGTGAAGTCACTGGACATCTTCGAGGAGTGGGTATGCAGACTACGCCACCACAGAATGTACCGGCAGAATGAAATCGCCATGTTTCCCCAAGAAGTCAATCACTTTTTCCCGGGATCCACCATCACAGACCCTGTGGATGGGGTCTTTGACTCCATGTCAAGTAAAAAGGTAGTAATTTGCCAATAATGAATCTAAAACAGGGGGTGGCTTTGGGTGGGGAAGTCCCACCTTGGTGGGGGTGAGGGTTCTGAGTCTGAAGAAGGAAAGGCTTGGGGGCAGGTAAGCTTGAGCCGGTTTGATGAGTCTGTTTGCCCAGCTGGTCAGAACCAGGACTGAGAGCATCTGTCATCTCTGGAACAGTGACTGAAGCAGGGCGTGAAAGCTGAACACTCCAGCTTTCTCTTGATCAGTTTGACTTTAATTTTTTTATCTGGTTGTGAAATGCAGCAGGGACACTTGTGGCTATACAGGATTGCAAAATCTCCCAGCATGTGTATCATTATTTTGATATGATTATCATTTGACAGAAGAAGAAATGAAGGGCTTTAGTCCAAGGCCACCTAGCATGGTGTGGCTATGGTGTGAGGTGACAGGCCGAGCTAAGTTCTTCAGAGGAGCGCTTTGCTAGAAGCTTCTTTCCAGTTACAGGAAGAGGGATTCCATGAGCGATGTTCCCCTAGCCTATGGTGTTACCCTTTTACCCCAATGGGTCCGCACTGGGTCTTTTCCCTTACAATGTGTTTTTGTGTTCTGTGGAACAGCGAAGCAGTATATCAAAGCAGAATTCACTTCAGACAGGAAGCAATTTGTCATATGCTTGTGGCGGCGAGGCACGAGTTCCTCTGTGGTTGCAGTCTTCAGAGGACATGGAGCAATGCTCAAAAGGTAGGGTGACCCAAAACCTCTGCAGCTGGCTGTCACAGCTCCAAGGTTACCCCGTTTAGGTGTTTATACCTCAGGTGAACTTACCTCTCCTTCCCCAGCACTGGACTGCTTATTCAGTCTGCGCTTGGTGACACTTTCCTTGCAGAGTTTCATGTCTTCACCTGGGGCTGCATACAGACCAGGAATCCCAATGACCTTAAGCCCTGTTAATGGGCTTAACAGGTTCTCCAGGTGATTCTGATGACACCAGCGTTTGAGAGGCGAGATCTTAATGCATTTGGACTTTGACTGCTCAGCAGAAACAGCTACTATCATCCAGTGAACAGCAAACTGAGGACTATTCTTGAGTTAGTGACCCAGGAACTGGTTTGAGAATACTGTTAGGTCTTGTTAAGTCAATCTGCAGAGAATTATCGGGTTGTCATGCAGGTCCATGATCAACCAAGTTATTTTTAAGACCGGTACAACCTTCATTAATTTAACTTGTACTGGGTGGGTCCTGATAAGTGGACAGTGACACCCTGTTATTGTGACATTAGAATGATGGTGACAATTTGTGCTCACAATGTGCCAACACTTTAAAAGCACACTGCAAATATTAGCTCATTTAACTCACAACCATCCCGTTAGTTAGGATAATTATCTAGAGCGAGGTGTATAATTATCCCCATTTTCCAGATAGGGAAACTTAAGCACAAAGCAGTTTTATAATTTGCCCAAGATTCACAGTTCATTAAAGGGATTCAAAAGGAAGTATCCTGGTTCTCCAGATCCATGCCTTTATCTACAAGTCTATTGCCTCTCCTGTAAAAAAAGGAATTCAAGTGTCCCGTCCTTACAGGTGTACATCAAATATAGATAAATGAGAAAAGTAGTTGGTGCTACACAGTGGAGCCCGAATGTCAAGATAAGCGCTCCTGAATTGCCCTTTGCCTCTCCCCACAGACCTGGCACACTGTCATTCCTACCTGCTGGAAATGAGCCAGCTCCTCCAAAGTATGGATGTCCTGCATCGGACGTATTCGGCGCCAGCTATCAACGCCATCCAGGTTAGCCAAATCCCTCTTCCGTTTGCATTCCAAGTCTCTTCTGCTTTCGTTTCTCCTCCCTGCCTTTCGCTAACAGCGGGATGTTGTCTGGTCAGGTGCTTTGGCAAGTTCAAGGGGATGTAAGGCATCACTTTGCTGTGTGTTTTCCCCTATTGCTGTGGTGGACTTTACTGTCTGTGCTCTCTTTCCCATTTTGAAACAAAGGGTGGAGCTTTTGAAAGTCCCAAAAAGGAGAAAAGATCACACAGGAGGTGGCGGTCCAGAGCTATTGGCAAAGATGCCAAAGGAACACTACAGGTAACAATTGCCTCCCCAATGGGCTGGATTCTTCTCTACACCCCAAGTGCTAGGGGCTACTTGAACTCAAGTAGGAGAATAGACAAGGGGGCATTCGACTTATTCTCTCAAATACCCTGTACAGAGAGATGACTTCAATCACTTGGGTTTTTCTGGACTCTAGAGTAGGTATGCACTGGACCACTGGGTAAGGGAAATAGTGTGAGGTTGGAGGGGTATAGCCATTTCTAGGACTTGGGTGTCTCCTTCTTTCGTGCTGAGCCTGCCTGCCATGCCCCAGCTTGAGTAGGTGCTCCGATCCGCCCCTTCTGCTTCTGCTCAGTGGGTTCCTCATCCCTCTGAGCTGGAGTTTCTGGGTACATGGCATTGTGCAGATGCTCTGTTGCCTCTCGTCTCTAATTTCCCACCGATGTGTACTGTGTCACACTAACTGCTGGCTTTCCCAATAGCAGCCCAGCCAGAGGCTGAGATCTGCAGCTTGGCCATTGCCTGTTAAATTGCAACATCATTAGGAATAAACCAGAAAGTTATAGATAAGTCATCTGTCATATTCTTGTAGACTCTTTGGTTTGAAGCAGTTTATGGGTTGAACTAAATAAAAGAGTGATTTCTGTACAAATATGGGAGAAATGAGATAATTTTGTAGAAGCACCAGGAGCAAACTAAAAACACACACACGCGTTTTAAAACCTATGCACTCTAACAACCTAGACCCCGGTAGACCTTTGTGGGGAGGAAGGAACTGAGTGGCACTGAGAAAGCCTATAGCTTTCATGCTTCTATTCTTGATCAAGAATGCAGCGGTCTCCCCTCAACTGCGTTTTACTCCCCATGTTTTGTTTCCTATGGTCAACTTTAGTCTAAAAGTATTAAATAGAAAGTGCCAGAAATAAACAGTTCATAAGCTTTAAACTGCATGCCCATGTGATTCAGTGCTGTCCAAGGTTTCAGGCATTTTGGGGGGGATCTTTTAACATATCCCCGCAGACAGTGATTGTTGCTTGTAGGCAATGTCTCACCCATTTTTATTTTTGCAAGAAGCCAGTACAACTTGTGTAGAAAGTGCTTTCCTGAGTTTTCATTTATTTTTCGTATAAGTAATCATTCAACAGAAAGACATTTCTATGTGTAGTTCTTTTCCTACTGCTTTCCAATCTTAGAAATGTATAAATATTCTAAGTGATTTGCATCTGAAAAGTAATATCTCCTTTTGGTATCACTTCAGGTCCCTAAACCTTTTTCTGGCCCACAAAGACTTCACTCTTCCAATCCTAATTTGTCAACACTAGACTTTGGAGAAGAGAAAAACTATTCCGATGGCTCTGAAACCTCATCTGAGTTTTCTAAAATGCAGGAAGATCTGTGTCATATTGCCCATAAAGGTGAGCGAGCTTGCTTTCTTCCTTAGGTGTGTGTCCGATGGGAATGTTAAATGCACGTCTGAATGTAGGCTGTCCTTGGAGAGGGAACCTTAATAGGTTAATTTGCTGATCTATGAGATTTCAGGAAACCCAATTTTTATTTTATTTTATGTCCCCGGGAGTAGGGAGTGTATTGGCAAAAAGTTTTGTTTTTGTTTTTGTTTTTTTTAGCATTACCGTTAGGGGAAATAGTGAGAGCATTAGGTATAATTTAAGAGCTGAGCAATTTATATGCTGCTGATGGGGGTGCAAATTAGTACTATTCTGGAGTACACTGTGATATTATGTTTCAACTTATAAAAAAGTCTGCCTATTCAGTAACTCCACTTTAAAGAAGTCATTTATAGGAATTAAAATTTATTCAAGTAAAGATATGCGTTGTCACATTGCTTATCACATCAAAAATTAGAAATAGATGTTCAACATCATTAGCCATTAGGAAATGCAAATTAAAACCGTGCTATTACCACGTACCTGTAAGAATCACTGACATTAAAAAAAGTACCGACAGCACCAACTGCCGGTGAGAATGCAGAGAAACTGGCTCTCTCATACATTGCTGGAGGCGATGCAAGATGGTACAGCCACTGTGTATAGCAGTTTGGAAGTTTTATATAAAAATAAACACGCCATGAACTCAATATCTATTCACATTCCTGGGCCTTTATTCAAGAGAAAATATTAACTGATGTCCACAAAAAACAAACTGTACACAAATATTCAGAGCAAGTTTAGGTGTATTAGCCAAAAACTGGAACAATGCAAATGTTCTTCAACAGGTGAATGGTTAAACAAACTGTGGCACATCCTTACAATGGAATACTACTCAGCAATGAAAAGGAGCAAACTGTGGTTATGCACAAAAAGTTGAAAGGATCTCAAGGGCATTGTGCTGACTAAAAAGTCAGTCTCAAAAGGTCACATAGTATATGACTCCACTTACTAAGTTTTGAAGAGATAAAATTAGAGAGATGGAGAAGAGTAATCTTGGCTGTCAGAGGTTACAGACAAGAAGGAAAGAGAGGGGGAAAGTATGGGTGTGATTTTAAAGGTTAGAAAGAGGGACTTGGTGGTGATGGAAAGTTCTGTCTCCTGATTCTGATGGTGGTTCATGAATCTACACATGTGATACAGTTACATTGACCTATATTTACATACATGTGCACAAATAAGAGCATGTGGAACTGGTGGAATCTGGATAAGAGCTGTCAGCTCTCCCAATGTCTGTTTCCTGGTTTTGATGCTGTGCTGTAGTTAAATGAGATATTACCACTGTGGGCACCTGGGTGTAGGGTGCCCAGGACTTCTTTGTATGGTTTTTGTAACTTCCTAGGAGTTGATAATGACTTCAAAATAGAAAGCTTTAAAAAATTAGAAATAACTGAAATGCCCCTCAGTCGAGGGACTGGATTTTTTTAATGTAATAGAATCATATGACAAAATAGGCAATAGCCACATAATACTAATAGCTACCTTATTCCCAAGTCCGATCTGTCAGGTATTTGTTAAGCGCTTCACATGCACTGTCTCATTAATTCTAGCAACAGCTACAGAGTAGGTGTTGCTGTCTTCTCCGTTACACAGATAAGAAACCCGAGGCTTAGAGGAGCCAAAGGACTCCCTGAGGGTCACACGGTAGTAAACAGCCAGCCTGAGACTTGAATCCTAACTGGCCTGACCCTGGAGTCGGTGCTCCTCCCCTGGTGTCTCATTGCCCTTATAGATGGGGCAGCCAGGGTTATTTTTATGGAGATAGAAAGATGCTCATAGCATGTCCTTGAGTAAAAATATAAGGTCACAAACACTCTACAGGTACAGTCCCAATTTTTCAGAAGAAATAAATTATATAAGCCTGGTGTACACAGATACACTCAAAAGTCTAGAAAGAGATACACCAGCATTTTTTGTGACGGAGGCTGGAGTAATAAATACTTACTATCTTCTTTGTGCTTATCTTTTAAATTTCATATATTAATCTTTTCTTTCACTTTTTAAAAATTGTTGTTCAAGTACAGTTTTCTCCATTCCCCTCTCCCCCATTCCACCTACCGCCACCTCCTACCCTCCATCCTACTCCCCCTTTGGCTTTGTCCGTGTGTCCTTTATATGTCATTTTTAAAGGAGAAAATGGGTTAAATATTTTTGAATGAGAGGGCTGTGTTTACTGTAGGAAAGAAGACATTCCCTCTCTTGCCTTGCTCTCCTAGGCCTGTGTTTCTCTTCCTTCCCATTACTGGTTCCTTCAGCTCTCTTCTCCCTTACCCTGCAAACCCAAAACACATTGGCTGCAAGGAAGCCGTTTTATGCCCTTTGCAATGCCCACCTCATACTCTGGTCCTGGTTCTCATTAGGACGTTGTTAGTGATTTGCAGTGCTGTTACGAGATCCCTCTGTGGAATGGGTGGAAGTACTACCCCGGCCCTTTGAATAAAACTTTTCTCACATCCCCTTGTGTGTTCTCTACTATTAAAGGATCAGTTATAACTAGGGCATTGCATGTTAGGTTTGGAGGGAAGAAATGCCTGTAAAACACCATTACTTTTTAATAATATGAACTGTCTTTTTGAAAGTGGGAAAATTGTTCTCCTGGCAGAAAGGAAATAGCCAGGTCTTACCCTACACTGAAGAAGCTGCTTCCTCAGCAGGAGAGCGTTATTGAGTGGATGCATTGATCCCATCCTCCTGCAGAGGCTCAGACTCATAGATAGTCTCTAATGGCCTCAGCCAGCTGTTCTGTCTTTCAGGCTTTGTGAAAGCCTGCTGGCTGCAGAGCTACCACGTACCTAGATGAGGTTAATGTCTGTGCTCCAAGGAAGGCCCAGGTGCACTTATTCCACAACAGCCAGCACCCGGTGGGCTTACAGACAGTGACTTCCACAGGGAGCCTGGTGAGCTGCCGTCCCTTCCTGCCACATTAACACCCACACAAAGACTGCAGGTCTCCGGAGTCTCTTCCAGGGGCTGTAACTCAGAGGCCTCAAGGGCTAAAGACCGCTCTCAGGTTTGCCCGAAGTCCGTGACCTTCATGCTTTCTCACTTCCATACATTTCTTCCAGCATAGGCCTGATTTCGTTGCTGATACTTTCGATTGTACTTTCTTGACTATATTGCTAATTTATTGCCTATTTTCCAGCACAGTTGAACTCAAGCCAAGAATTCTACTGATTTTATAACCTACTATATACCCACTGTTTTTTGAGCTTGTTAAATTGCATTGGAATTCTTCCTGTTGTGTAGAAGTTAGAGCAAATGGTCGGCAACCAATATATAACCATCGTAAAAAGTGCTTGTTATGTTTTATAGACTATAAATTTGATTTTATGGTATATCTTTGAACTAATTCTCATTGGTTCATGTGTCTGGCTTTGTGTTTATGCTGACACATAAAGAACAAAAAGTCCTAAGATCTAAAAGCCACAAGTAATTTACATGGCGTATATTAGCCATCACATTCCCCAAATTGTACTTTATGGAGCACTTTACCCATAAAGTGCTTTGAAAACAAAAGATTTAAAATGTCTGGAGAACGTTGTTGACTGTAGCTTCCTTTGGAGTTATGCAAGAAATGATAAATATTAAAGGTCCTGATAAGTCAGTCATGCAGCAGGAGTTCTATTAGCTTGTTTAACTCAATAATTTTCAATGTTATTTGGGGAATTCTCCCCCTCCTCTCCAAACAGCTATCAGCTATTATCACTATGGAACTAAGATTTCTTAGAAACACACTTCAGGAACACTGTCAATAACAAGCCTTTTTGGAGCGAGCCCTTTATGCCAGCTGAGTCAGAAGACAGGCATTCATTCTGTGCCACCTCTGTGATGGACTGGCTGTGGGACCTCGTCCGTGCTGGCCCTTCTCTGGGCTTCAGTTGCTTCATCTGCTAAAAGTCCTAAGTGGTTGTCCCAGCTCTCTTAACTCTCTAATTCTGTGATGGTCTTCCATGATTAATTTGCACTGAATAGAGATAGTTCATGCTGTTGCGTATTGCTGCAAGGATGTTTTGTGAGCCTGTTCTAGTAGTGATAGGAACTGAAGTGACTGAACTTGGTGAGCAGATTTAGGATGGGAAGCAAGGAGTACCATAGGACTGGGGTCAGGGTGCTCCATATCGAAGCGGAAGTTCATATTCTCCCTTGGAAGGGAAGAAATGAGGTTTTACAGATACTTCTGCAGTCTGTGGAAGATATTTTCAGTGAGAGAAATCTTCATTTACAAATGTAAAGGCTAACAATAGAACAAAATCAAATTTTATTAAATTTGATATTCTTTTGTTTTTGGATTCTCTTCCTGTGTTGAGTTTTAACTGATCATTTTGTTTATTTAGTTACTTATTTATTTTTTATTTTTAAATTAAATTTGTTGGGGTGATATTGTTAATAAGATTATTACAGGTCTTGAGTGTACAATTCCGTGATACATCATCTTTATATTGCATTGTGTGTTCACCACCCAAAGTCAAGTTGAGTGGTCACTTTTGTAATGCTTTTGAGTTTATGGAAGCATTAAATAAAAAACCAAGTATGTCACAGTGACATCATTTTCATCAATTAAAAACTAAAAGATGTATTCGATTTCCAGTCAGGGCACATGTCTGGGCTGCAGACTGGTTCCCTGCAGGCCAGTTCCCAGCAGGGGACGCACGAAAGGCAACCATACATTGATGTTTCTCTCTCTTTCTCCTTCCCCTGTAAAAGATAAATAAATAAAATCTAAAAAAAACAACCTAAAAAACTAAAAGATGTACTCATATATGGCTTAAAGAAAAGCCATATAATTTATCAACCATAATTTAGCATAAAGGTCTGCTAAGCAATTATATTTATATAGATAAGCAGTAAGTAGGACCATTTAATGAAATCACTCTGTACATTTAAATTTAAAGAAGCATTTAGATAAAATATAGGTTAGAAAGCATTTTAAAACCTTTGACATTCTGTGAGGTTTGAAAATTAAGGGACCC